TTTTTTTTTCCTGGTTTACAGGGATTTTTTGTTCGCCAGCAGAAGCAAGGAAAGAGCCATATGTTAAGCATTCTCTCTCTTGAGGTTAACTACCTCATCGTGCCCGCCATGATAATCTTTATCATGTTCGTGGTGCCCCTTCCAGGGTTATCGCGTTACGTTTGCCGTGCCGTGAGCTTTGTGGAACGGCTGAACTTCCATGGCGTTTCATTGCTGTTGCTAGTTACAGTCGCGACGTTTATGGGGTTTGCACTTCAATTCCTCGAGTGGAGAAAAAAGTACTGCTACGGAAAACCACGTTTTGCCGACCTGAGTCTGGAGGTTGACTGGGAGGGCCGTAAGTGGCGCCACGAGCGCAACATGTACATACATGCACTTGCGGCTGTATTATGTGCCGCTGTGATGAAGTTCGCAAGGCTGTATGCCGCTCTGGAAAAGAAGACAGTGCCACCAACTGAAGCCAAGAAAAAGGTGTAGCCACTTTGCAGGATTTTCTATTCTTGTAGGAGCTAATATTGTGTCCAGCAACATACGAGACCACTCTGAGCATTCCTGTGCACAGAGCATTCACCGAACCCAAAGGTGTATGCTTTCTCCGTTTTTTGTTTCTTTTCACTTCCCTGTCTGTGTGTCTGTGTGTAGCGTTGGATTAAAGTAAATGACAGGATGGGAACATCAAACTAGTGGCGTTCGTGGANGTGCCACCAACTGAAGCCAAGAAAAAGGTGTAGCCACTTTGCAGGATTTTCTATTCTTGTAGGAGCTAATATTGTGTCCAGCAACATACGAGACCACTCTGAGCATTCCTGTGCACAGAGCATTCACCGAACCCAAAGGTGTATGCTTTCTCCGTTTTTTGTTTCTTTTCACTTCCCTGTCTGTGTGTAGCGTTGGATTAAAGTAAATGACAGGATGGGAACATCAAACTAGTGGCGTTCGTGGAGCTCGTACACTATATGTTGCTTCATCTCATGCGATGAATGCATCGACCCTTATATGTTCATCATTATTGACACTTCTTTCTTCTATTCCTTTACTTTGCACAAACGCATACACGGAGAGAGGCACAATTTGATAGAACATGTTGGCTAGCAACGTAGCCGCCGCCACAACAGAAGAGACGCTTAGCAATGACAGAAACACGCTTGTGAATAAGAGCGGTTTAAATGGGTCTGATTTAGAAATCCAATTTCCTAGTGGATCAAAGTACATAGGGTCATTTCGCGATGGTCAGATGAACGGTTACGGAAAATACTACTACTTCCCCAGTGGTGACATTTACGAGGGTGATTGGGAAGCTGATATGAAACACGGGCATGGTACGTACACTTACGCATGTGGTGATAAATATATAGGAGAGTGGTATATGGGAAGGAAACACTACCGTGGAACGTATCTATTTGCCAACGGTGATAAGTACGCGGGCTTTTGGAAGAAAGATAAAATAGACGGATATGGTATTTTTGCGATCCAGAGTAGTGGCAACCGATATGAGGGCTTCTGGAAGGAAGCTTACCGCCATGGTCACGGTGTGCTATACCACGGAAATGGAGATGTGCACGATGGGGAGTGGGTTCGAGGAAAGGAGGAGGGGCTCGGGATTTTTATACAGGTTAATGGCAACGTCTACTGTGGTGATTGGAGGGATGGCGAAATGGACGGAAGGGGTATTCTCAGGGATGACCGTATCCTTTATGCAGTTGAGTATGTGGGCGGCTACGCCGTTTCACGGGTTCCGATAGCGGAAGGCACGAGTCCAGCGATTGGATGGTCAAGAGCGTATGACCACTACGTGACCTATATGGGAAAACAAGAACAGTACGGTGACATATTTGCGCGCGAAGCGGAGGAGCTGCGATGCGCTCTGGAGAAGTTAAAGGTGGAGAGTGCTTTCTGGCGGAAACGCTATGAAGACCTCCTTAGTGAAACTTCAAAGGAAAAGAACATCATGTCGGGTGATGCCAACAAAGAAGAAAAACCTCGGGATTTATGCAGTAGCCGGAGGAATTCCGGGGAGAGCTCTGATTCAACCCAATGCTTACTGAAGAAGTCGGACAGTGATAATGATGATGATGGTGATGGACTCACGACATCACTTCTGATTATAGCCAATGATGTACTGCGTCGTCGAACTGCAGCACATGACGGAGAAAATAACGGCATTTCACGAAAACAGACTGATGCCAATGGTGTCGAGCTCAATGGGGAACCTGGTACAAATCATGCAAATAGGGAGGCTCCATCGTCCGATGTGGTGCCGTGCGAGCTCGTTACCTTACGTCAGCATAACCTTGAGTTAATGCGAAAGAACAGCCAACTCGAGGAACAGAGAACGGCTATAGCATCGGAAAAGGAAAATATGGCAAAAATGCTTGCTTCTTGTCAAGTCAGGCTAAAGGAGCTTGAAAAAGACCATATCGCAGTTATAGCATTAGAGCAAGCGGCATCTAGGGATGCTATGATGCTCCGTGACCGCGTACAAGAGTTGGAGGAGGCACTGGTCGGAAAAGAAAAACATAGTAATGAAGATACTGACAAACATCATCAATGCTCGAGTGTTGGCTCCATTGAAGAGAAACTTGAGGAGGCTAATAGAGCGAATGCTGAGCTGCAGCTGCGATGTGATGCTCTAGAGAAGGGAATGAAAAAACACTGTGAAAAATATCAAGCTCTTCTGAATCAGCTGAATAAAAGCAGTGATGTCGAGGCTGTAGTAAATCTCCGAATGGATGTTAAGAGACTCGAAGGAAAGCTCAACACTACCGAAGAAAACCTGCGGAAGCAGAAGGTTGAACTTGACTACCGCAACAGTCGTTGCATGGAACTAGAGTCATCGCTTCTTACTATGGCGCAGCAAAAGACTGCTGACCCGAAGATCTTACACTCTTTAGCTCGGAAAATGGATCACCTGCATGCGCTACAAGAGACAAACGCTGAATTATCCCGTTTGCTTGAAGAGACCAAGGTTGAACTAGAGGAGTGTATGAAAGGGACTAGGGTTGCACAGCAAAAGAGACGTTCTGTCGAACGAGCTGAGGCAGACCTTGAAGCTGAGCTTAAGCAACTGCGACAAGACGTAAAGAAGGAACAGAAGAGGCACAAGAAAATGCTAGTGGATCGGGAGGGTCTCGCGGTGGAGCTCTACGAGGAGCAGGTGCAACACGCACGGGCTGAACGTGCCATGCAAACTCTACATGGATGTTTCACAACAACTGTTCGGGTACACAGCCACGTCGAAGACTCTGAAAAATATGGCGTACGCATTAACGACATGGACTACTCGCAGGTGCTTCTGAAGGATGATGGTGGGACCCAGACGTTTCAGTTCGATGTGTGCTTTGATGACACAACACCATGGGATGCTATATTCAACGAGGTGCGTCGCCCTATAGCGACCGTTTCGATGGGATTCCATGTGGCGTATGTGACTGTTGGCGCCATTAACACCGGAAAGACAACAATGTTCGACGGACTTCTTCCACTCTTCGTCAACTACCTGCGTGAGCAGTGCCGTCGATATTCATCGGAAAAATATACAGTGACATATAAGGTGGCTTCTATTGAGGTCGGTGCGTCTGGGGCGGTTGACTGTGAGACAGGCTCTGCGGTGACTGAGGTTCAACGCGATGCCCACGGTTTTTCCGTTCCATCAGGTGTGACTTTCTTGGAGACAATGGAGGCTGATATCCTGCCTACCCTGGAGAAGATGCGAAAGCGACAGCAGCAGAATCACCGCTCTCACTTGTGGTTTCAAATTCAATGCGCCATAACTCACAGGGTACGGCATACATTCACTGTAGGACGAATGACGCTTGTCGATCTGTGCGGTCCGGGGCCCCTCCTTGTTCAGCAAGACGATGTGGAAAGCGCTCGCTTTGCAAACCGATCCTTTGGTCATCTCTTAGCGGTACTGGGAGGTCTTCAGGATCAGCAGGGGGTGGTGCCGTATACGAGGTCAATTGAGACCACTTTGCTCTCGGATGTGTTTGGGGGAAATGCACTGACAACGGTTCTTGGCGCCATTTCGTCTGCAGAAGAAGACATTGGCGAGAGTCGCCAAACGCTGAGAGCATTGTCCTTGGCATCCAAAGTCGTCAATGGTCCCGTGCTGCCATACTTTGTCAGCAGCGATGAACTCCGGTGGAAGGAGACGATTGCTTCGACATGTTCTGCGGAAATGGCACTACCCATGCTTGTGGACGTGGACGGACTACGGGAGCTGTAACGGGCTTTTCACCTTCTTTTTATGGTCCCCTCACGTTATTTGTTTTTTTTTTATTTTGTTTTCTTTTGTGTTGTTTTCAATGTGATACCTATGAGTCTTTTATTAGTGTTAATGTTGTTGTTGTTGTTAAGGTCATCCCCTTATTAGGACAAGGGATGCCCCGCTCAAATGTAGAGCATATCTAATGCGTGGACTCCCATACACCCGAAGTGTGCGGTTAGGATCTACAGGGCAAAAGTGTGTATTTATTTGGTTCACTCCAACGAAAACTTTCCTACAGTTTCCTTCTCTTCAACAGACTCCATCTCACGAAGAATAGCTCAATGGGTATACTCTTCTTGGACGTTTGCAAAAAGCTGCTCAGGTGGGCATACACTCTTCTAGATTCCCGCTCATTACGGCACCAGTGTATTTCCTATATTTCAACTAACAGCGTTTTACTCTGTCCCCCCCCCTTTTTTTTTCTTGTCTGCACACAAACAACGGGAAGGGAAAAGAAACGGCAAAGCCTGCTCCGCATTCATTCAATGCCGCGGCGATGCTTTGTTATTGACCCCGCCTGGAAGCGAGTCGAAAGGGAGAGTTATGCTGCAGCATGGCAACAACTGGCGGAAGAGGCGACAGGATGCAAGTTCGTTGGGCTGGATTTGGAGTGGACGTCGAGGCCAGAGCCTATCATAGGGGAAGAGAGCAGCAAAAACGGAGATGCCGAAGGTGTCTTGGAAGGGACTGCAGCTGTTAGGAAACGCCCAAACTCTGTAGGGCCTGTGGCAGTGGTGCAGCTCAGCACCTTCTCTGTCACCTTTGTGATTAAACTGTGCGATGTGGTGCGGCTGACGGGCGGTGGTGATTGCGGTTCTCGGCGTGAGGACATCGTGGAGCCATCAACGCTGGGCCTTGTCAAGACCAACTTGCGTTCGCTCTTAGCAGACGAATGTGTGTCAAAAGTGGGCGTGGGAATTCTGGGCGACCAGGCGAAGCTCCAGCGCGACTACGCAGATTTCAAACTTATCCCTTGTGTGGATCTTGCGGTGCTCGCCCGTCGCCTCCTCCCCGCCTGCGAGGATGTGGCGGGACTGCGCAGCCTGAAGGCCCTCGCCGCTCGCTTCGCTGGCACAGTGCTCGAGAAGGACATCTTAGTAACACGCAGCGACTGGGGCGGCGTGCTGGGACCGCTGTCGCCGCTGCAGGTGCAGTACGCCGCCGCAGACGCAGAGGCGTCTTTCGACACGTGTGTTGGCATACTGCGGGAGTCACACGTGGTCGAAGGCGATGAGGCGCTGCGCGCCGCCTGCGGGTCGGAGGAGGCACTGCGGTCGGTGGGCGCCGTCCTGCAGGCTGTTTCCGGCGTGAAGCCGGTCACTCGGAAAGCGCACCGTAAAAAATATGGGGAAGACGGCAATGCCCTCTGGCGGTGTAAAGGGCGGGCGAAGCCGTACTACCACAACATCTTTGTGTACGACGCGGAGATGAATCTCGTCTTCACAGTGGACAAGTCCAAGGCGGAGTGGTACGTGTACAAAAAAGGCCTCGCTAAAGTAACGGAGTGGCGGGATGCAGGAAGCGGCGGCGAATCATCAGAGCCTCGAAAAGAGATTGCGGCCATTCAACTCAGTTTCACTCCTGACTTCGCCAAATACAACGACGCTTACATTCGCCGCAACTTGGACTATTTTCGCCAGCCCAAGGAAAATCAGTGCGTTGTGTGCGGAAACGCAAGTGATCTGGTGCGCTTCGCTGTCGTGCCTCTGGTGTACAGGAAGTACTTCCCCAGCGTGTACATGAGCCACAATAGCTACGATCTGCTGCTGCTTTGCACTGCATGCTTTGCCGTGGCCCGATCGTTCTACGACAATGAGAGAAGATGCATCGCAGAGGATTTTGGCGTGCCGCTTGCCCACCTTACACCAAGGGAGGTGGAGGCATACCGTGCCCAGCAGCAGCAGACAA